GCCGAGGATCCTCCAACGTGGGTGTACATGTATGTGCGTATGGAATTGCAGGTACATAACCCCAGTCTTGTGTACCCAATGCTTTTGATTCTACCCGTTGGATCATCGAGTTTATGGGGTTCGGGGTGGCTCGAGGAGGTGCATTCCAGCCTCCCAGGGACCGCTCTGGTCTCGTGGGTGTCGCGATGGAAATTTCGCTGAGCTCGGGGATTATTCCGCGACTGACACCCGCCTGATAACGATTATGGCGAGCTGATCCAAGGGAATTATTTCAGCTTCCATTATTAATGGCTATTTTCAGGGCCACTGAGCTCACACTATTCTCGTTATTTTACGTTAGTCCTTGCACACTTACACTTGCACACTTGCAAGTTCTTTTGTTTACTCGAGAGGAACTTGGCGAAAAGGAACTTGGCGAAATTTGTTTGGGCTTTGTATTCGGGTCGGGGAGGATAAGCCAAGGCTCCATTGAATTTCAATAAATTAGAAGATGATGGGTGAGTGTAATTCAAGTCTTCAAGATTTTTTTAATTCTCAAATTATATGGAATTCTCTCGTAACGTGAATGACCAATTTTTACATTAAAAAAAATACTGTGTACTAGAATTTAGAAAAGAGTCAACGCTGGATGGAAGAATTAATAGCCGATGGCGTCGGTGTATCGTAGAGATATGGACTCCCTGTTGGAGCTCTGCCAGGATCAGTTGCCGCGTGTGTCATTAATTTGGGTATGTGGAGATGTGCCAATTGGAAAATTGGTAGGAGACAAAAATGACTCTATCGGGTAATGAGAAAAATATCGCTTTTGGCCATTGGTGCTGGGATTTTTGGCGGGATATCGAGGTGAATGAACTCCCGACGGCAATAGGCACCAGACATCCCCGGAAAGAGAAAAAGCCTTCATATGCGGTAATTCCCATTCAACGAATCATTCATTTGAAATTATTCCCCGTAATCATACGTTTACGTGGATCGATGAACTCCCGCACTCGGTTAGACGCATACAATTGTCGGAGATTGTCACTTTGTTAATATAATAGGATAGTTTAAAATTAGACCGATGGATTTTGAAATAAAAAATTGTTTTACCTAGACATAAGGACTTATTGCCGAGGTATATATGAAATATTTTTTCACCGTGTCTAGAACATGTTTTTAGCATCTAGGATTATTAGACGGACATCTTTATTCAGAATTTTTAAAGCTCTGGCTCTCGTGGATATATTATTCATGCAATGCTGAATGTCAGGGACAGGTCGCCTCCTTCATTCATTTAGAAGAGAAAATGAATGCATTAGCCTCTCCTGTTTATTAATAAAGGCCTGTAGTTTTTCATGGGAACATGCATTTCCACGCTCTCAGAATTCATGAGTAATCTCTCAGTTTTCAAGGGATTAGGTTTCAGTCGGGAGTGGCAATGCAGGATGTCAAATTCCATATGCGCTTCATCCATCAGGATTTATGGCGACATGTCATTGAGATGAATTTTTATCAAACAAATGCAGGACCCGGATGTGTTTTTGTCATTCGCCAAAGTTGTCGGATTGAAATGGATTTGTGCTCCTGAAATTTGATACGGGTGTGTCGCAATGGAACTGTCGATCATCTTTCCATAAATCCGATGATTTTTTTTTAATTTTCGAAATTGTTTTATTAACAAATAATGCTTCTAAAATTGTTAGACGATAGAACGTTGAAAAAAAAGTCTATTGAAATTTTATTGAGCCTAAGGTCTCAATTGTCAGTTCAATTAACTGATAAGAAAGAAATAAAAATTCAAACCGTCAAGAAAAAATTGTATTTACTTTCCAGCTAATAAAAATTCAGAGAGAACTGCATGGAGAAAAAATAATTACTCCCGCTGAATTAATTGACTTCTGCCAAAGGAATGCACTGGGCACAGGTAAATATATATAAATATTTGAAGAGTGGATTTTTTTCAATCCAAATAAATTCACCGTATATTTTTTTTTTCCAGTAAATTATTTGACTGCGGTCTGATCCGAGTCGTCGCGTTACTACTTAACATGTGACCCGTCTCCTTCTACTCCGATCTCAATCGATCAGTCCTGTCCCCATTCGACCCATCGAAATAAACGCGAGCGCATCCGGAAGATGCCGCCGACTGCGCCGCAGACACGCGCCGAATACAAATGACCCCCGCCATCTCCGCATTCATCATCCCCCAAAAACCCCCCAAAAGATAATAATCGAAAAACCGGTCGTGCCTCAGTTTCCCCAGAATTCTCCGACTGATCACCCATTTTAATTCCTTCTGCAGTCCTCAGACCAGTCCACAAAGATAAAAAAGAAAAATGATGGAAAAAGCGCAGATTCCCTCCGGCTAGATTTTTAAAAAGTTATGCCACCTCATTTTCGTTTTTTCCTTTTATTCATCTCGATGGATCTCCTCTCAACATTTTTATCTCTTCTTCTCAATTTTGGGGAATCACTTCTCTCATGATTTTTCTTGGAAGATTGTACGGAATTTTCATTAAGATTTTCTACACTTTTATTACTGCCAAAATTCACGTTTTTTTTTTCATTTTTCTGGTGAACTTACAGTGGAATTGACGTGAAAGAAAATAACCTTCCTCAGTGCCGTCGTTATTTAATACTCACGAGGTTTCAAGGTGGTGCGAAAAATGTTCTCCGTTTTTTTGTAAACTTTTAAAAAGAATCATAAAAGTAGAAAAACTTGGTAAGCAATTAAATAAAAACGAAACGCAAAAATATTATATTTTTCAAGTCAATTCTATCCACAATTTTCTATAAATATAGAAGAAACGTGAATTTTGGATTTTTTCTGAAAGGGTATCGAACATCGTTAAAAAATTTTTTAGGAGTCTATTCTAAAGAATAGACTGGATTTTCGTCGGGATGTTCCGTAGCATATTCTACACGATTTATTTTCGTCAGGATCTTCTCTGAGAGATTTAGATTTTATAAGACATTACATGGCCCTTACGAGAATTGAGCTAGATAGGAAAGAAAAATGCGGGACAAACCCTCAGAAGTGCAGATTTCCTGCGGCTAGGTGTTTAAAAGGTTTTACGATTTCGTTTCCATTTTTTCCCCTTCGCCTTTATCTGAATATATCTCCTCAGAATATTTTTATCCTCCCTTCTCAATTTTGCGGACTTCTCTCTCCAAACTAGCGCACTTTACTTTCGTCAGAATTTTTCGTCGGAGACTCCATAGGATTTTTCCCTAGAATTTCTCTAGAAATTTTGAGAAATTTTCATTAAGAAATTTACAAATTGCATTATCATTATTTGAAAGGACTTTCCTCAAAAGACTTGACAGAATTTTCTCTGGGATGTTCCCCAGCATATTCAACCGGGTTTACAGGATTTTCTTTTCTTCAGTATTTTTCCTAGGAGATTTCACAAGATTTTCTGTAGGACATTACTCGGTCCTTGCAATAATGAAGCAAGACAGAAAGGAAAAATGAGGGAAAAAAAAAAGTCTCAAAAGCGCAGATTGCCCGCGGCTAGATGTTTAAAAGGTTTTACGATTTCATTTTCATTTTTTTCCCTTCGTATTCATCTCAATATATCTCTTCAGAATATTTTTATCTTTCTTTCTCAATTTTGCAGACTCCTCTCGCCGAGCTAGCGCACTTCACCGGAGCTCTGTGTCCGGCTTGTGCCTGAGACCGTAAAAGGCGAGCAGAAGGCCTTGGGCGCCCACGCCCTCCTCCTCCTCCTCCTCCTGCCGGTGCCTCCTTATCTCCTCTTTGCCTCCTGCCATTTTTCTCTCTCCCCGCGTTTTCTCTTTTTAATTCAAAAACCCCACACGCAGGCGAATACCTCACGGATAGACTACATTGTTTCAGGTACGCGAGTCATTGGAAATCACTTTTCGGAATCCGCGGGATGGAATCCGAGTATCAATAGGATATCGTAATAATGTTCAATGGAGTAGGGAAATTGAATGACAGATTGCATGATGGGAGATGGTTTCGATTGATTTTAGATGTAATCCTCGAGTTCCACCGGATATTGCGGGCCAAAAGATAAGCGAGACCTTTTCTTTTTATTCCGTCAATTGCTGAATCACTATTTTTTATTATTCGTGTGGATAAAAAAAGGGATTTTTTAGATGTTGGAAGAGTGAGAAGGTGATTCATTGGATTTTATCGCAGTTATGAAAATGCAAGAGGAGATTAATGATACATGAAAAATTCATGAACGAGGACTTTATACTTCTGATGGGGTGGTCGATTGTGATGTAGATGATTTTTGACCAATTGAGATTTTAGGATTATCTGATCATGTTTAATGGATAGATGAGTATCCGATGAATAATGGGTCACGTGGGCAGAGATGGACACGTAACAAGTGATGTGAGTGATTTTTGACAGAATTTTTCTAGAACGATTTTACAGAATTTTTTCCGAATTTTTTCAGAATTTCCTTCAGCAGTTTTTACAGTAATTTCACCGGGAGATTTCACAGTTTTTCCCTGTGATCGAATTTGAAAACCATTAACAAAATTTTTGACTGAAGTTCTATTCAGAGAATTTGACAGAATTTCCCCTGGAATTGCCATCCCGATATTTTTTCTAAAACCAAAAAATATTGCAATTCTCCCATCACCGCTATTTGGCCATCTGGGTCCTCATTCCATTACAGCAATAAGTGCGTCGCCGGGGGGCAGTGGCTCTCCCAAGAAAACAAGACCATCTCCCCCCAGAGCGAAACACCGCGAAGAAGAATTTTCCATCTGTGTTTCGCACACATTCCCACTGTTATAACTACTCTCAAAATACATAAATAAGCGTGCCTGTGACACTACCACACGTGCGTTTAATCACGCCGGGGCCTTACGTGTGCGCCGACCGCAGAACTCCCAGTGCCCCCCTCCCACTGACGTAGTGACGATGGAAGGGGGACGGGGTCATTCGTATTGGTGAACGTCTATGAGGAACGTTCTCCCCAGGGCCGGAGGGGGGAACGGGTTCCACGGTAGAACTGCAGGGGCCACTGTAGCGGGTAACGAGCGTCGTTGCCGCGGATCGGCCAACAGTCCCGATTGTTTCACCGTACCTGTCACACCTGTGCAATTCGCGCTTGTTTTTTCGGTAATTGTTCCTTCCACTGGAGGTGATTAGCGGGAAACACAAAGGTACGTCTCCCCAGTTTTTAAACAGTGACGCATCCCAACGCCAACAATTTCCTCAGGTTCTTGTTCATGTTTTACCGTTATTTTTTTGCTTTTTCGTTGTTTTTGTTTTCGGGACCCTGCGCCCCCCTCCCCCTTTTCCCTCCACCCCCGCCCCCTTCTTTCCCACACGTGTTTGATTGATTGTGCGGTGATTACGTGCGGCCCACCTGCGGTTGGGCCAGGACCTGGCGACTCTTTCGTGCATGCGCAGGAGCGAGCCGTAACGGAACACGAGTTTCCTTCAACGGAACCGCAAAAACGAACAAATTGTCGGCTACACTCGGGTCCTGACCTTTTTGTGATTGGGGGTGTGTGGCGAGGGTGGCTGGTGCCTTGTTTTGGGTTGGGTAACGGGAAATCTTAGGATTCTGAATCCATTGTGGGATAATCTCTGGCTTCGGAGAAGTCGGAGATTTTGACGAGTAATTATATAAACGTGAAAAATATATATAGGATTCCATTCTACATGTGTTTTGAAATATTTACTAAATGTATACGAAACATGTATCAAATGGGTGTATATTCTGTTTTTTTTTTTCATTTAAATTGTGTTAATTTGGAATGTCTTATGATATAGAGCTATATATTTTTTAAAATATATTCTTTTACGTCCGGCTGAAAGGAAAGTGAAGAAAACTCATTCATTTTGATCGAGTATTTATGTGAACCATGGACAGTAATTTTGAATTTTCTCAATAAGAACCCATTTTTTATGATTCCGGAAAGAACAATTTTTTAAGTGACATTTTATTGTTTATAAATTATTCAAAGTTTGGCGTTTTCACGTTATTGATAAATGTTCCGAAAAGAGAAAACTTTCTACCCGCTGAAATGTTTTGAAGCCATAAAAAATCAACCGGTCGCTCTGGCATTTAAAGCTGAAAGGTTGAATTTTATTTTCGTATTTGTGAAATACAAATCAAATTCCGCGCAAACGTGAACCCGCAGAAATATATATCCCCCTCCCGAAGTGAACTCGAGACATCAAAACACCTGAAATCTCTGATAAAGTCTCTATTTAACCACTCCTCTACAAAAAATGACGTTAAAAATATTTTAAAAACTACTTAAATTGGGAGAAACAATTAATTTTTTCAGTACAATTGATCAAAGTCCTTTGATATGTGAAAAACCGGAAGAGGTGCAGTAATTCAATTCCATTTTGTTCCATTGTACTGGTGAAGTGAAAGTCAATGCATAAAAACCAACGAGGTTCGTTCATTAGCTCATTAACAAAATTGACATTAAAGATGTAAACACGATGAAAAAGGAAGTTGGGGAGAAATTCTTTGCTCCATGGTCGGCTGAGCGGGCCTGACGCATCGCGATTATCTGGAAAAGTTTCACTTTTCATGACTTTCCTCGGACTTCCATATCCGAAACAATCCCCCATTTGTTGATTGCAAGCCACCATCGAATTCAAACGAAATGGAGATGTGTGGGTCTAGCAAAAATGTGTGGGAGTGACCCAGAATCATCGAAAGTATCGAAAAAGTATTTCAAAACCTGCGGAAACGTCACAAGGACAACTACAGCCCCAAGGACAATCGTTAAATGATCCATTGCGGTTTGATAATTAAACCTCCCCCCTCGGGGTGATTAATGTTTTAATTAATAATCCTGAGACATTGAAAAATTTACGGCTCATCATCGACTGCATAATCCACGCAATGCATTTGCGTCATCTTATATAAATACGAGGACAGCATTCCAGGGAACGGGGACGCCTGTTCGTGTGTGACTGATGATATTCACCGAGAAAATCATTATTTCTGACAATTAGATTTATTTAATTACAACTCAACTCATTTATTACGAGCTAGAATTCAAATTATTTGAGATTTTACATTTTTCGTTGTCTCAAATTTATTTCCTCTGCAGAAAATCTTTGTTCGGAGCGTTTGAAGATACCAAATATCATAAGGAATATAAAAGTTCATTAAATTCTCAGTGGTAATTAATTGCGTGAAGTCGGGACTGATACGCGGGATTTTCAAAGTTGCTTGATGCTATTATTCATTTTCATATTTATCTCTATTGTGGTATTAGAAAGAAATAATTAAATGTCAAGCTTCGCTAAAAATTAACTGACATTCTCATTTTTTTTAGAATCCACGAATAATAAATCTATATTCTTGCCGATTGCTATCGGTTTTTGTGGCAGGGTTGAAGTAAAATTATTGTAAAATTATTTCTGTACATTTTTCATTGAATTTTGTACGTCTAATTGTGAGTTTCCTGTAAATTGCAGTGATGTTATGATACGATTAAAAAATCCAAGATTTATATAACTGAAATTTCCCCGTGAATTACAAATATTATTCGCAGAATATTCGTGATAACTCATAAATTTTGAATGACACAGTAATTTTTTACATATATTTTGCATGAATGTCTGAGATTCTCATGTTCTCAAAGGAAACCGTTGGATTTATCACGATACGAATGAGTAATTGAGCCCTGAAACCGGCGTTGAAGTCTCCCCGATGAGCTGTCATCATTCCTGACTAAGAATCATCCCAAATTATTTCCCACGAGCGAACCATCACGTGAGACAAATAACTAATTGATACCCTCGATCACGCAACATGATTGTGCATTTGAGAGAACTTGAAAATGAGGATGGATTTTTGAAATAATTAGTGTATTCGCTGGTGCTCACGCGAAGTTGAATTTCTCGGTACAAAATGTCTTTCTCGATTTGGCTGGACGCGAAGGAACCGGTCTCGAGGGATTATGTCCTGTCGATTTTTTCTCAGAGGTACAAGAGTTTATTGTCCACTCCGCCATGTTGGTACTTTCGTGGGTATTTCAGGTGGATGACGTCAATGAACTAGTGGATTTCACCTGAGATTGGAATCCACTTTTCGAAGAAGCGGTAAGCGCTTCAATTTCTCTTGAGAGTTCTGTTTAGTTTTCAAGGAATAATACACAATAACCTTTTTTATGATAATAATCGAAGGCTTCAAGAAGGGTCTGAAGGAAAATTTAAAAAATTGATCTGTTTCGTAATTTCCTTTTTTCGTCAATGAAATGCCGACGTTACTTGAATTTTTAGAGAATACTTGAGCCTTCCACGAAGTTTATTGTCTTGAATGCGAGGTAATGATTTTTTTTTTCGAAGCCAGTGCGGATGATTTAACAGTGTAGTAATCGGATTATGTTATGAATAGTGTTGAGCATTGGGAATTGATGATGGGAAGAGACAAATAAGGATCGAAGGAGAGATGACAGCAGTCGGAGACGGCGAGACATTGACCTTATTCGATATGGACATCACATCGTGGGTTTCACGGGAATAGAGCAACATTCTACGATCCAATTTCAAGGGGGAATTGATCGAAGACTAGAGCTGCGATTCGATACATATTTCTCGGGTTTTATTGCAAGTTTTTAGCGAGGGTTATTACCGGGATATTTGTCATTTGATAGGGAATCTGCGGAATGTGAGAACGGCAATACGAGCTAGTTTGATTTTTATGAGAAAAAGATTTCAATGAAATTCAGTACTCGTTTTAAGAATTCAAGCATTTAGTTACGTGACATTTCACAATTTTGTGGCGACTGGTTCAGTTGTTCAATAAAAATTGGTAGCAGTTCAGGAAACTCTAGGGAGTGGCGGGATTCCTATGTGAATTTTATTCTTTCAAGTAGATCAATGAATTTTGGAACGAGTTTTAAGTTAAAATGTCATTGAACTACTTTCGTCTGTTTTATTATTGGTAATGATAGAAAAGGCAAACAAGATAGGGAGAGTTAAACAAAATGACAGAGTTTCAAGATTAAAATGGTAGAATGTATTTAAGAAATTAAACATTTAAGTGTAAATATCGGAATTTTTGTTAAATCGTAATAAATTCCAGAAGCAAAACGACGGCACTACATAAAAATTTCAGACAATCTCCTATGACACCAATAAAAATAACAACTAAATAACCATTGGTCATAAACTCTAGAATGCATTATTAACATAAAAATAATGACTCAACCTCTTTTTTTTAAATTTCAAATCAATTTCCTTTATTTAAACATTAACTAACCGTGAAATTTTCATATAAAAATCGAAAAATATCTGTGAAAGTATATAGTATAAATAAAAATAAATAATGGGATTGAAAAATGTAATTTTTGTGGAAAAATCGGGGATTAATGGTTGAAGGGCTCAGAGGCTGCAAAAGTGAATAAAGAATTGTGGAGAATTGGCAAAAGAAAGTGCAATTGAGGAAGAGTGAAAACAATCGATTTGCCCTCACACACTGAAAAATCTCACCTGTAGTGCTGTACAAACAACACCTGAGGCGTCCTCGGCACGCACAGTCGGCACAATTACGTGTTAACACGAATACATTTTGAGTACATGTACATGCATAACCCGATTCAAACCGAAAGTGGAGTCTCGCACGGAAAACCAGAGGAGTATAACCAGCGCCAGTGAAAGTCCAAAGGCGGTTTTGTGTTTGCGCAACGAGCAACACCGAGTGAAGTGTCTCCAGTGTTTCTCCTCCTCTCATTTTTTTATTTCAAGGGGACAACTTTAAAAGGATCGAAACGCGTGGGCAATCTACAGCTCACGTCAATTTGCCAGTTGGTTTCAGTACCGAGGAGAAAGACCTGAAAATAAAAACAATTTTCAGCCCAATGGCACCAGTGATAACGGTTGAGGAATATATGGCTCGCATGGTATTGGAAGAAAATAGAGGACGTCGGATAGATAAGGAAAATAATATTCGTTTCAAAATGCAACGCTGAAAGGTGTAGGTTTATATCTTTTCGATATATTCGAATTTATAAGGCTGCCGGCTTTTTATAATTGATTCTTCCTGGAAGAGATAATCGTAGAAAGTCTGGTAATTCTTTGGTGGAATTGAGCGCATCAAGTGAAGGCTGATGATCAGTGATGATTTTATTATTAATTGTGAAGACATCCATCGATATCTGATCGATATCCATATAATCTGTAACCAAGAATGATTTTAGGTGATTTTCTGTAGAAATATGGGAGAAAAATCTGAAATGTTCAGTAAATTTTTGGTTCTGTTACCAAAAGAGTACGATAAATTTCCGTAATTTTCCCAGAGCCTGTAAATTCGAAAGGTAATTTCACGAATCATTATATCCAAGAATGTTTACGTAACATTTCGTGAATTTTTCGGATAATTTTTATCGAACTCCTGTCTCCGCGTATTTTTTTGTCGTCTGAAATGAGAGGATATAGAAAAGTGGTGTTTTGTTGACTGGTGTCATAAAATAAGATTCCGTGAGAGTGTCCCGATGAAATAAACTGGGTAAGCATCTTTCACCCCCGGAAGAGTGAAATCCCCAGGAGAGAATACGACGCCTGAGAAGGATATGCCAGACACTGCGCCGCGAAAAATACCCAGGGGCGCTATCTCCCTATCGCATGTACAAAACTCTCGAGTGAAGGATGAGCAGAATGGAGGGAGAATGTGAGTAACACAGCCTCTTGTGATGGTATATACGCACTGAGAATGAGTAATGGGGCAATGAAACGCTCGGTATAGGAATTTTGCGCGCCACGGGTTAAACCTCGCCGGGGTGTGCCCCAACTGGATATAACACTGAGTACACCTTCTTCAATTGCTCTTCCTATCGTTATCCTTCGGTACCAAATGGTATAAAAATCCAGATACTACGGCAAGTCGTAATTCTTCTCTTTATTAAAATAAATCCTCCCTCTCCTGTCGGTGTATTGCAAACTCCCATCGTCTCTCCCACGTTTTTACAGGCCTCTTCGGTGATCGAGAGGATCCTGCACCTTTGGCACCGAGTTATGTGACACTCCACTCCTGTGAATAGTCGTGCACACCCATCAACACGTAATCGTTCGGGGAAACAAAAAAGAAAAAAAAAAAAAACTACTTGTGACTTCATGACTCGCCGCATCGGCCAGTTGGAATTAATTTTATGGATCTTTCGGAGAAATATCTATTGGAAACTGATGGCCACTGCTGCGGGAAACATATATCGCAGAGTTTTCATTATCCGATTGATTCTTTTATTACATTGATTCATTGATTCGGAAATAAATATTTATCTACTCATTTATTGGGTTTTTCAACGGATGAAGTGGATAATAAAATGGTTAATTGTATTTTCTATTTTCAGGTTGATTAATTCAACTATTCAGTAACAGATGAATAATTTAATTGAGTAAAAAAAAGGGTGTAATGGATGAACATAATAATTTTATTATTTACTTATTTATATTTGTCTAAAAAAAAGCCGCAGCAAGTGCAAAATAACATTTGCAATTAATTTTTTCCCCTCGGTATTTACTCAATAATGTTTTTACCACTATCATTAACCCCAATGCAATTATACCTACCCCGCCGCCCTGAACCCCGTAATTTCTGAGGAATTTTGTTAATAAATTACTAAGAAACCGGTCGTCTAAGCGTGTGTACTTGTGAAATAGCAACAAAGAGAAAAAGAGGAAGAGGGGATCGGAGGCATCGAAGATCGGACGTGCGCGTAAGACCGGAAACTACGAAGGCCGGGTTGATTATCATGGGGGGGAAAGGGGGAAAGGGATCCACGCGTAGATCAGAGTCATTCTGTTAGTCATCACCAAAGCGCCAACTCAGGTCCACAAAACAGGAACTAATGAAAATTATCGTCTTTATTTTTAGCGCTGAATTCTGCAAATATATAAGACGGCCATTTCCACTGAAATTTTAGAAAACTGTCACCGATATAAATCAAATATTGGGATATTTGACTTGGTTTCTCGGCCTCGCGGATGTTCGGCTCTTTTTAACAAACATTACCTTTTTTTAATTTTCTGACAAATTCTTGGTCGGATTGACGTGAAAAATATTTTGTTAGTAAGTTTTATCATTATTTCATGACTCAGAAAATTTCCTACTTTTTTTTTAATTTTTCCCGTAAAATGGTAAAAAATAGGAAAATTTCTGGGCAAATGGAAAATCCATGTGTTTCCCTGCATTATGTTTAAAATTGGAATTTTCGCACTCGCTTTTCCTTTAAAGTTCATTCATTGTTCTTCTCGTAAGAATTACGCTCATATTTTTTCCGAAATTTTGAACGCGAGTATAATGGAGAAACAGGATGTAACAAAGCAAAATAACTGTAGATTGAGCGGACGTCCGCCTCCGATCAATTGAATCCACTTAGCGATTGGAGATCGTCTAATGGAAGCGATGATGCAGGTGAAACTTAAACTCTTTTTTCGTGTTACAGGGCATGAAGCCATGACGTAGCCTACATCAACATTGGGAAGAGGTGATACTTGGGAAAAAATCATGGTGAGTAAGCAGTATTACCATGCATGAAAACTCTTCTTTGTTCAATGAAAATTGATTGTTTTTTTCATAGAGTTATTTTCAGAGGCGATAAAATACTAGTCTCACTATCTCCCTATGAATTACTAATTGATAACCAACGGCTCCTTCCACAGTTATCAGAAATCCGTAATTTTCACATCTGCAATCCACAGCTGAAAGATAAAATTAAAAAATCAAATCCTCTAATAACAATTACAATATTATTATTTAATATAACCCTAGGCATTTGTTAATACTCATTTTGACACAGTTCGGGAGAAAAAATGTGAAGACGAAAGAAATACTAAACAATTATTATGAACTACAATTATTTAAGAATAAAAATAAAAATAAAAAATTCTTTATCTTTTCGAGATAATGAAATGCGTATTATGAACATTTTTAATGCTTCAATTAGTAAAAAGAAATGTTAAAATGGTTATAATTACCTGATAGACCTAGGTCGTTGGCTGTTGGCTGTCATGAGAATAGCGCCAGGTTGGAATGCAAGATAAATTATTGTTATACCGAGTGTGAGAGAGACAGTGGGCTCTAGATAGAAGTGGATAGTGAATCCAGAATATATATTTTCATAGCTGGCAGGAGTTGGCCGTTGGTAACGGTGTCTCCTGCGCAGCGGAGCATGCCTGGGGTATGGAAGACTACCTTGGTGTGTTTTTCCGTGGGCCAGAGAGCACTAGTCCCTCGTTGCTCTGTCCTGCTCTCTTCCGTCGTTGGAGGTGATACAAATAAGAGTTGAATATTTTCCCAGAACTACCCAAGTCCTCCCCTCACTCCATAACTGGGCAAAATTCCGTGATCAACGTCAGCCGGTGATTCACAGTCTGTTGGTTCTATCCAGAATTTGCATGACATGTTAAATTGACTTTTGATCATAGCATTTTACGTCAATATTCCAGTTATTCACTGTTAGAAATCTCTTAGAATTTCCGTCATTAAATAATATAGATTTTCAGTGTGCTGAATTCAATTGCAGTTAAAAGTGGTCACTTGATCTATTGTTTATCTTGAAAATCCAAGAAAATTGGATTTTTCATATTAAATGATAATCGATTTTTTATGAAACCTTGAATTTTCCGATTCATCGTGAAAATTTAACATCAAATGCAATTGAATTTTCATAGATTGAAAATTCAGGGAAATTATTGCCCGGATTTCCCACGATCTTCCAGTGATTGAAATTATTGCCCGGATTTCCCACGATCTTCCAGATACAAATTCTACAGAGTCATGTAAATTTGAAATTACTGAAAATTTCAGGTTTATATATTTTACTTTTCAAGATATTCCTTTCGCATTAATGAGACTCAATTAGTTAACATCCAATAATCACAATGCACCGGGAAAAATTTCTGGGATCCACCAGCTGGAGATTGATTCATTCCAAATAAAACCTTATATTTAACACAGGCAAGCAATTTTGCAATTTAAATAAATCGCCTTTCATGGGCGGTGCGGAGTTGAAATTTGACGGGATTATCGGTTCTACTTATGAATGGATTTTGCACGGGGGGAAAACCTGAAGGATTAATTCAACGGCGTTCTCCATTTTTTTTTCGCTAACTCTTCGAAGGCCTTTCCAGACAGCTCCAACAGACTGTAGCGTGCATCGAGGCGTGAGATAAGAAGTGAGTCCTCGACAAGATCCCCGTGATCATCCGGATCACGTCATACACCACCGCGAAACACACGTGAGGACACCCTTCCTCTTGTAAACAACTTGAGAAGTTGTATTCTGGGTCCGTCCAACCGGCTGGAACCAGAATCCAACATCCCATCGAAGATAACAGTATTTATCAAAATTTTTAGGACCGGAATATTTTTTTAAACAAATACGTAAAACTTTCTAGTCAAATGGCGCATAATTTTTTATCTTATTCCTCTTAGAAACAGAAACTAGTAGGTAATGTTTATTCAATTATTCTATGAAAATCAACAACAATTAGTGAAATGTAATGAATACAAAATAAAAAATGCAATATTCGCGTTTTTATCGAAAATACTATAATGTCTATTTTTTTATAAATTCTCGGGAAAATTTCTTGACAATCGAAATTGAAAATGTCCCCGATCTGTCCATGAACTCCGAGTATTCTTAATCTATCCTAAGCTCTATTCCCCTTCACCCTAGAGACATGGGATATAAAAATTGTTTATGGACCTCATATCCTGCGCAGAATATCGACAACTCGCTATTCCGCGGTGGAAACAATCTACCCCACAACTTCACCACTAAATCCCGCGTTTCTACGTCCTTGCAGCTGCGATCTGGTAATATAAACGCACGTGCACGACAAATCGTTCTTAAGAGTGAAAGTAGAGCTGAAAACTGGTATCCTATCCGGCATGCTGGCATTCTCAAAGCCATTGAATCAGATTTTTATTTAAATTTTTATCGTTCCAATGAGTTGATTAGTTAGTCAGATACTTATTCCAGTTTCCGCCCGTTAGAAAACAAATATTCAACTAATAAAACTCCAAAACTGTACTAATCACTGTCACAAATGTCAAGTGACATACGAACTATTCTATAAAATTAATACTTTTCGAGAATAATTAATAATTATTGATAACGTTCAATAGCTCGTATCACTTTTTTTATTCACCACCACAAAATCAACGGATTCACCCTTATTTTTGTATTTTGTATAAATAAAAAATGAAAAGAGAATTCCTTTTATGCGAATTAATTAATCATAAACTCCATTAATGAGTAAATAATTTGTTGAAAGTGTAGGATAAACAGAACGAAGCACGTGCGAACGATAAAATACGACAAAATCATAATATATTTGAGATTTAAATACTTATCTCGGTTAGTGAATTATTAAAAGACATATCACCTTGACATCATTTCAACAACAATGCTCACCACGAATATTATTCATTAATTAACAGATGTGGCTGGGTTTGACATTCCTGCTGGTTGCTATTAGACTCGAGGGAGTCTGTGGCCAGAGCAACTATGCCTCCCAGGGGAATAGCATTGAGTATCAGCCAGGACTACCACCGAGTACAATACTCGATGGAAAAGTTACCAAACTCGATGAATTGTCACCGATAATATTTTTAAATCGAACAAAGGCGTATCTCAATTGCAGCCAAGGTAGTATGGAAGTCGAGTTGAAATTTGAAGAGCCTTTTTATGGAGTTGCCTACGCGGATTTCGATAGAAACAGCGCGTGCTTCGTCAGGGGACGTGGGCTGGATCATGCCAAGTTGGAGTTGCCTTTGAAAGGTGAGTACTGACACTTTGCCATGATTGGCCATCCATCATTATTGTTGATTTCCAAGGAAATGATCCTTGGTTCTAATGGACAATCACTCGCTTGAAAAAAGCTTTATCTGTCGAAGAATAAATCAAGATACACCTTTTTAGCCAAAATTCACATTTTGTAAATTTTTCTCGCAAGTTATCGATTGGATTGACGTGAAAAATATGATACTTTTGCGTTTGGTTATTATTTCATGGCTCATAAAATTCTGTAGTGGTGCCATCGTTTTCATTCGTTTTTTCGAGTTTCATGATTTTTTTTGAAAAGTTGAAAAAAAAACGCATCACATCACGGTGGTGTTCGCACCACCCTAAAATTTGATGGGTCATTAAATAATGACAAAACGCAAAAATGGTGCACTTCTTCTGGTCAATCCCTTCATATGATTGCCTGAAAAATTGAAACAACGGGAAAATTGGTGCGAAAAGTATAGAACATTCTCAAAAATGTACATAACATCAATCATTTCAAAACAGAAATGTTTTCCTTTTTCCTTAAAAAAAATTACTCCATTGATTTAATTGACAATTAATTCATTTGATTCACTTCAATTCATGCAGGTCACAAGTGTTTTTAGTATTATAAATTCATAACTATTTTTCTTTCGCGTAAAAAAATTTGAGAAAAGCACATTTTAGAAAAGCACAAGGATTTTAGAAACGATTGATTTCTCCCTTCAAAGAAAAATAGTCTTTTTTTCTTTTTTTTTTGAGTTTTGATGATGTTGTTTCGTAGGATGCGGTACCAAACAGGATCCCCAAAGAGTCTTCACCAACAACATCGTTGTGAGGTTCCACCCTGGACTGGAAATGGACGGAGACGAGGTCATTACGATAATCTGTCGATACCCACCACCCATTACCCCAAGACCTGGACCTGCTGAACCACTACCAAATCTGTAAGTCCATCTAAAAGTTTCTTCAGTCCCAATAAATTCCACATTATTATTTAAAAAACCCATGAAATTCGAAATTCCATCCAAAAGTTCATTGACTTTCTTTTAATCTTACCGAAAACAAATTTTACTTGATTTTCACACAAAAGTCAACATCGAGAATCAAAATATCCTAAATACACAAAAATAATTTTTGAATGGCGAAATTATTTGTCATTTCCATTTGATAAATATTCCCGAGAAAGCTCGACGGAAATATTCCGCAGACAAACAAATTTTCCCTGCATTACAATCGAGAAATGAATAATGATGAAGTAGTTGGCAGTAATGACAGAACAGAACAACACCATCAGTGCGATATTTCCTGAGAATGTTTTCCTTCCAACGATTGCTAGTTATCGACGATATAATACCCCCAAATGACCCTCTATTACTCGAAACAGGAGTGAGAGGAGAAAAAACTCTGACACTAATTACAATCCAAATACACATACATTACACCGGATCGCCATTGTAACATCGTAATTACACAATTACGAGCATCATCAATTCCGATGTAACAGGAAAACTTGTAACCACTTTGATATCGCACCTATTGATTTCCAATAATTCATGCGTTACTGTACGTTTCACCAGTGAACCGAGTTAATTAACAAAATCGTTATCAAGACTAAATTGGAATATCCTACTCTGGCGGATATATGAGGTACAATCATCAATGATTCGAGCAAAATGAAAGAGATGAGAATTTGTATTCCGAACACGTATTGTGTTATTTATTTGTTATTTATCTCTGCCGATCTCTTAAATCAATTTATTCACAATTATCGATTTCCCACGGGGCATCTGTTAACGCGGTTTCGGAGTAAATTAATAGGCAACGATTAATTGCGGGATCATTATCAAAACAATCCCTGAAATTAATGACCTGAAATAACGGGCCATCTCATTTGAATAAAGACATGAGTTTCAACTCCCAATACCTGTAATTTCGTTGTGCAGTCCGATTACCTTTACAATTCCTTTTCATCAACTGATAATTATTTATTCATGTATTCGTTCGCATGAATACTTATGTGAATCAAACAAAAATTATTTTCTGCTTATCAATTAATTATTCCGTTTACTAGTTTCGAGAAGAAGAAAATTCGGATATAGAAAATCAAAAATTAGTTCAAATAAATTAATTTATTTGTTGGCCAAAAAATACTTTTGCCAAGTGTAAAATAATCCGCAGACCTGTTGATGGTAAGAATAAAAGGGCTACATGCCCCAATAACTAATGAAAATGTTCTCCTACAGTCCTCCAACAGCAGCTCCGCCCTTGAGTCCTCTGAATGGACTCCAAATTTTACTGACCATCTGCGCACTTCTCTTCCTCTCTCTGTTACTGCTGGGTCTGGGTTGCTCGTACCTGTGCCTGAAACGGCGTAACGTACGTGTGATCCATAGACATCCGCTGGAGAGTGCGTCAGGCTCTGAGATAACAAAGCTCTCGCAGTCGTCACTTGGTCACATCTCGATGTTCGAGGGTCTGAAAATTCCTCGAGCGCACGCCTTGCTGCATGCAACAGCCTCATCCTCAGGCAGCGAAGCTAACCTGGTGATTGACCACTCGGATACACTTCCGAGCGACTACCCGAGCGAGAGTCACTCAGAGGTAGGAATCGAGACAACTCATGCGTACGGTTTCGAGGAGGTGATTCACTCAAGCAGATCAACGACATCCCTGACCCCAGGGCTGTCGCACATCGACGACATGCGGTCACTGCCGCTGTCCTCCGCTGGTTCCTACGACAACAAAGGATTCGTTCACACCCAGGAGAGGGCAGCCAGTAGTCTCTATTCGGAGACGATCGCCGATGTGGAGACGTCGGGACTGACGAGTGTGACGGCGTCGCGGGTGTCAGTACCCCGTCACCCAGTGGCCGTTCCCATCGAGCCCAAGTTCGATGTGCAGATGAGAGTCAAAAGAGCACCACCACCTCCTCCCAGTCCCCTTCCATCGGAATCCGATGCAAGTACAGCCCTCGAGAGGAATCTCACGACAATTCTCGAGAGGGAGGAGACGACGCGCTCCATGGAGACAGCACCTCCCAGGATGACGACGTTCTCTTACGTACCCGAGTTGCACGGGCCCCCGAGCACAATTTCCAGGCAACAGACGCCTCCTGTTTATTCCAGAATTCTGAGGAAACAGGCGGAGCGAGAGAGTTACGAAGTGACACAGCACGGACCGTCGGCGACCATCCACCGACCGAGAACTCTCAAAACTCTCGATGAGTTTAGTGAAATGAGGACCACCGAGGTGACGGATGCTTCTCATGCCAAGTACAGGGTGGCTAGTATTCTTGCTCCGACACCACCACCACCTCCGCCCATCGCCCCGACGCATGCCGTCGTACAGCAAAGGGATCACGTCAGGGAAGAAGTCGAGCCACTCGTCGAGCCTATCGTATCTCCCAGGAGACCTGAGATTACCACTCATGAAGTGGATGATGTATTCTTGAGGACTGTCACCGAGAAGAAGACCATTGAGGACGTCGAGCGACACAGGAGACAAGTCACTGAGTATCGCGCAAGGCCCCAACCCGATCCCAAATGGGACGTAACCATCAGGTGAGCATCCATTCGAGTAGAAAAGTCACTCTTTCCAAATCAAATATCATTAGAGTATTTGAAATGAAAAAAAAAACAAATTACCCGCCTCAGAGAATCCGCCATAGATCAATCTACGGTTTTTCGAAATTTGGAAGAAAGTTTTCGAGTTCTTTAGGAAATCAAAATTTTCCATTAAACAATAATTGATAATAAAGCTTTAGCGGACAAAAAGATATGAAAAAAAATTTCAGGAATACAATACAATTAGAAACCGGCAACCACCACCTTTAATTTCAAAGAAATTCCCAAAAAACAGTTGGATCACAGAATAACACCCTTGACGTCATTAGAGTAACATGACCCGAGAAAACCGTAAAAACCGGGAATTCCCTCATTCTTTACCTTTCAATTATCCTCCTGTGTTGTTTTCACCCCTCGAGTTAACTCTACCCTAATCTGTCACCAGAAACTACCCGACTCACGAGCTACCCCCGGCGCCGCCCCAGTGGGAGAACTTCTCGGACGTGAGTTCCGCCTCGAATTTGACTCTAACGAACGAGCCCCTGCGCCACCTGGACGACCTGGACTCGACGATTCAGCCGACATACTCTCGCGCCGAGATGCCGTCGAGATCGCCAATGGGTCTCGACGACGGCGACGACAACTGGGAGACGCTATCGCGTGTTCTAGAGCCACAGTACGCAGGAGAACTGACGGAGGACGATCGCCAGAAGTGGCGAGAGGTGATCACAACAGAGAGCACTCTAAGAACCCTGTTGCACGAGGCCGTGGTCAAAGAGGACTACGAGTTGATAAGGAAAGACGAGAGGTATCAGACGCTCTTCCCAGAGACGAAATGGGACGTCATTATCCGGATCCTGAGTCCTCCGGCGACGTCGATAGGCTCCAGCAAGAGCGGCCAGAGATATAAGAGGGGTAAAGGCTCGGAGTGGGACAGCAGGTCGAGGAGGTCCTCCTTGCCGACGCTTTACGAGTACGACAGCGATGGAGGGACCTCCATAAGGACTCACGACGTACCTGGAGTGCCCTCCGACAGGCGACGACTCTCCTCCGCCAGGGGTGGGAGTGAAGTAGATCTGAGGTCCATGTCTGAGACCATTCGGGAGTTTAAAATGCAAAGGGACGATGTCAGTCTCAGTTCTTATGACGCTGACTCGATCGTTAGGTCTCTCAGTCAGCCCAGTCTGGTGAGATCAGGCTCTGAGTTCACGGAACACTGGGGTCTTCCTGCTAGGAATCTCAGGGCCTGGGCCCCTGAACCGGAGGAAACCGCCAGCTCACCCGAAACAACCCCTAGGGCTGTCAGGAGAGGTGATCGGGTCGAGATCATGACCTCATTTAACTCGGGACCTAGACAGAGCACCAGTGGACTCACCACTTTCGCCAGGTCTAGGTATTCTGAGAGGGAAACTGTCAGGGTTGAACAGCCCAGGTCCAGCTGGTTCAATGATGATTCTGAACCGGAGATGCAGATTTAATGGCGAATCGAAATACTTGAACTTGGTACAGGCCAAAATCACGAGCTGGGAACAATGGGGGAGAATTATTTATGAGCTTTAAATTTATTTGGGATTAATAAATTTGGTACGAATTTTTGGAGTAGATGAGTTGTGAATTTGAATTGAAGATACAAAATTCGGTGAATTTTTTATAAATTTACATGATTTCGAAGAATTCGGCAAATGTAGGTCATCACTCAACACGTGATTTTGGCCTGTTAAGCCGATCGATTTATCGAATAGAAACACTTGTTACATTCATCACTGCCCAGAAATATTTTAACTGATGGTAGAGACAGAATTCAGCCAGAACTCTGTCACCCCGACGTTCATGAAAATGCAGAATCGTCACAAGTCACTTTAGCAACACATTTCAACTGCCCGAACGATTCCTTCGAATTGCCAATTCTTTTTTCGAATCGATCTTCTTGGGTCGATCGCCGGACTTTCCACTTGCCACTCGTACCGGAGAGCGTCTTTTGATAACTTTTTTTAATGAAAAAAATCGAGTGGGACTGTAGAGTCCGGCTGTAGCATCTCCGTCGCGACGATCGTGTACAAGAGGAAATTATCGTGACGGAGATGTCAGGAGATGTCCTTTAGTCGCGTAACACTTGGCTTCCTAATAAGAACCTCTCAAATAAAATAAATATCAGTAAATTGCCAATTACCCACGAGCGCTAGTGATAATAGTTACATAGGAAAAAGAAAAAAAATGTTAAAATAAACGAAAGCTATTAAAAACAACGGTGCTGGGTGCTTCCTAAAATAGGAATACGGTAGGTGGTAAGAATTTTTTTTATGAACATGAACATAACTTCCTATGAATGGAATAAACAAAAACAGTTGATGCTGAATAAAAGAATGGCATTGTGCAATAGGATGAGGGATCACCGGGCCTGATTGTCCGGGAGGAATATATCGAGGAGAAAAAATATATAAATGAGGTGGAAAAAAAGGTAATTGGGTCGGCTGATGCTGCGATTTCACCGGCACCAGTGGAAATCGCCAGGAAGTAGAGAAAATGTTTAATTCACGTCTTCCGGAGAGTTTGTTCATAAATTTTCGACCATGATCCCTTAATTGAACGAACTTGTTTCCTCTTGCCGATTTTTATTAGATTTATTGTGAGTTTAATTCTGCTGAATAATCAAATGAACAGGAAAAGGGTTTCAATTCTTCGGAAACTTGATATTATAAATCATCATTTGATCGTTTTTTAATAAAAAAAAGTTGAAATAATTGGAACACAATGTACCGATTAAATAAAATAATAAATCCAATTGAAAATTATAGGAATCTTTGATTAAATGGAGTTATTGATCTCAAAGATGAATAATAAATCTTTCAATTCTTTCCGAATTAATAAAATGAAAGAAAAAATGCTGTCTTTAATTGTCATGGATAATTAGGAATGGTAAATTTGATTTATCTCATTTTACGATTTCACTATTGATTTCTATCCTCTCTCATTCCACTATCAAACTCTCAACGTATAGGTGCTAGGTTTGTAAATAAACAATGTCGAAATGCCGGAGATGATAGGAGTAACCGTAAAGAGGAAAAAATAAAATTCGACTCAGGTAACTACACTAGTTCCGAAATTCACCCACGAAAATGAAAACTAACTCCGCAATCTAAAAGTTTCAACTCCCAGCAAACTTGTATATTCACTGTATCGGAATTTAACACATGGAATAAACAATAATGCTTCTACTACCCCGAGCTGATTGAAATTTACCGCCCCCTCCTGAAACCACAAATTGGAATTAAAAAACGTGAAATAAATACAAATCGTTGATTCAATACAGATTTTCCGATTCATTCTGGCCGAGGGCCATTCTGGTCACGTGAAAATCCAGGAAAACCGCAGAATATATTTCCAACTGTCATCTCTGATTTCCGCATGTCCCTCGCGAGAATGGAGTATTGAGAGTGGAAAAATGAAGCGACAAGGGATGGTGATGCTGCACAACCCACGGCGTAGAAATCTCGTGGTTTCCATTTCATTATCCCCGAGGAGGTGCTATTTGGAATACAATGGTGTCGAGATGAATTTTTCCTCGGTACAGATGTATCGCTTGCTAGCTATACTATTCCTCCTTCACCACCCACTCACTGCAAACATGTAGAGGAAAAATTTCGATAGACAGATACGAGAAAAATAATTTAACCGTCTCTACATTCATGTCCTCACTTTTCTATTATTTTATCAGAAACTTCTCCTTGGAAATAATAAACGTGTTTAATACAAAAATTTTTATATATTTTTCTAGATATCACTTTTTCTTTCGCAATTTTCCTTGTGTATTGAGGAAAAGTTAATTTTAATATGGATAAATGATGATAAGCAATCCAATGACATGTGCAATTTATATAACTAGAGTATATGGTGCGCACCACGCGCCTAATCGTACACGTGTGGGGTGTCATCATTTGGCATCTAAGATCTCTAAAAAAATTACCCATGATTCTTCATATTAAAACGGAATGATTCTCTATAAAATGATCGATCAATACTAATTAAAAACAATTAATTGAAATGAAAACGCAATATGATAAAAAAATATAGAGCCCTTATTCACAACTTCCAATCACAAGTAGAAAAACCAACAATTGGGAAGACGGTATTTCCGAAGAAAACAGTCGGCGTCAGGGAGTCTGCAGTCGAGGAAAACAGTTTCTGGAGAATGTCCGTCGGGAGTTGGAGCTCGTTGGGGATGTGAAAAAAAAAAAGCTGAAGAAAGAGACAGACAAGTGTGTAAAATACAAAGGGGATGATGAACGCTTGCGCAGTGATGGTGGACGATGGGATAGAGGGGGTGGATGAAGAGGTACATCAAGACTTTGTCACCGATGAAAGCCACCCCATACCCCTCCGGATAACCGGTGTCTCCGTGAAATCGAGCAGTCACGTGTCCCTCTACCCCGTAGACGATGTTTTTTTAACCTCTATGTCGTTGGATATCTGCGCAGCGACACACGTAACGGGTGTGAATGCTGGAAGGGAGATGTTGAGAGGGGGTTGGATGAGGGTTGGATGAGGGTTGGTTGGGGGCTGAGCGGAAGAGGGTGAATGCCGGCTCAAGGTAAACGCACGAGTGGCGGAGGAAGCGCAAACGGGGTGGCACGATGGTGGGGTTGTCTCTGGCAAGGTAGAATGCCGGTTTATAGTTACACCTGCGTTTTCAGTTTCTGCACGAGTGTCGAGAGAGCATCTGAATATCAGTGATCAACAGTTGAGCGGAGGATGCCGACGAGAGTGTGTTGGTGAGGTGATAATGACACTGGATAATTTTTTGGAGAATTAGGGGATGAAGGACTTTCGGCAGTGATATGGGGAATATTTCGTGAAGGGGATGGGACTACCTGTTACTCGACATTCGCGCGGACATGGGTTCTCTCGGTGAGTTCCTGGTTTGGGGTGGCTTTCTTTGAGCGAAGGGATGAGTTCTACGAGGAAGACGGCGAATCAATGCGCGCGCGATAATCCAACGCCAGCGCGACGGTACGCACTCACTCCAAGTCCCAGTGTTAAGGCGGTTAAGAGCTTTCTCTATGGCAATTCTATCACTGGACCTGGATCACCACTCAGACACCGCTCCAAGTACGAGTTGAGGTCCATCAGCTTTGAGGGGAGCAAGGTCTTGCCGTGGACGTCGAGGTAATCTCTTTTTTTCATATTGAAAAATATCCTATTTTTTTAAATCAACAAACAACATTTCACATTTTTTGTTCACCATTTTTGCGCATTTTCATCGGTGCTGTTCCTACACTAAATATTTTACACTTCGGTTTTGAAAATTAATGAACATTACAACTCTAATTTTTTAATCGACGCGCTAATAGAAAACCAGTGGAAAGTTTTGAAAAGTGGCGATGGGCATTTTTTAATTGATATTATCTTGTTAGAAGTGTAATTTACATAAAATAATGAGAAAATACTTCAATTTTAGGTTGCGATTCTAAATGACTAATACGTGAATTTTTTTTGGGTTCAGTGATTTTCACAAAATTAATGCTGATGGCATTCTCTACAATGTACAGAAAGTTGATTCATTTATGAATGAACATGAAAGTGAGTGGACTGTAATTTTATGTAGGCGTGAATATTTTTGTTTAAGTAATCGAGTATGAAGTATTCATGAAATTTGTGGTTAAAAGAATGGAGAAATGTCGCGAGGGTCGGTGAAATATTCGTTTGCTCAACCATTTATGAACGGAGAGTGGCTCATCCGTATCGTAGGCAATTTGAATTTTTAAATCACCAGACGACTATTTCCTAATATTTAAGCAGAATAATCAAAAAGGTTTCATTTATTTTCATACGAATCTATCGAGTCAAGGGAATCCAACCGCGATATAAATAATAAATATATTTTTCTTATCATACCATTGCACAACTGACCAAGTGTTATTTTTCCATAATACATTCATCAATTCTATCATTTTTCTGCAGCCCAATTAACTTAATGAATTGAAATATTTGAAATTGATATCGATGTATTTTATGTATAGATTTTCGATATATTATATATATATTTTAGGAGTATTAAGAATTGATGGGTACTGTATATTTTTTAAGTAACGATATACAACGAATATTGAAAATCGAAACATTTTTTCTATACGAGTAAATGAATTTTCGAATGGCATAATCAATCTTCCGTCACGAAAGCCATCGAAAATTCATATCTCCCCGATAACACCATCAAATTACTTCCGTCAATCACGAAAAATGCCGCATTATATCAGCCCCCTCCACGACAAAATAAATTCCGCTAAAATTTCACATGTTCCCCCCGTTCCAAATCAATTTATCAATGTTATCGCTCCAGACATACCACCCTGACATTCTAATACCCCAGATAACCATTCAGAAAAGTTTTGGATGATCAATCACTGGCCACATCGAAGGCACCTGATGACCCACTGACATTCGACTAATGGAAAACCCTGAAACTACTTCAAATCCCGCAATAAAAATCTGTACAGATACCCCAGGGCTGGAGAAATCAAATCTACCTCTAAAAAAAAATTCATACATTTAAAGCACCTTTTGCTCCGAAACGCCGGATAATTCTTTAAAAATAACTCGCGATCCCCCCAGGAAACCCAGAACTGAATTCTGGAAAAATTCCCGCGGCAGTTTTGACGAAAAATCATCACCGGAAATTCCGCAGTTCTCATCATCTCACGAAAATAGACATCAATTCATTTAAATGCAGATGAAAATTTCTCAGCAGTCACTCGATCACGAAACTCACTCCTCTTCAAGTTCCTCATTATCTTGGAAAGTATCGATGAATGCCCTCTTAATTAAATCCGGGATAATGTGTACCATTGCAGCAATTTGGAGAACTCCAATAGCAATTGGATCCGCCATTGGGAATACGAAAGTAGAACATGTCCGATGGAATTAATTTTTCAAAAATTCTGAGAGCTGTTTCTCTGGGTTGCACCGAGAAAATTTAATTTTAAAATTGACCATAATTTTCTTGAATTCATGGAACTATTCCAGTTGATTAAATTGACAGAAAGAAATTTTTGGATTAAGTAAATATACAATTATTAATTAACAGAACTAATTTTATTTTACGAGTCGGTGATGAAATAAAAGGGTAAAGCAGGAAATTAGTAAATTGGATTTCTGTATGGGGTGATAAAGCGAAAGATTCTGCGGAAAACCGCGGAAAATTCATCTACTAATACATTCTATAGACGAAACGCTTGAAAGTTCGGCTAGAAAAATAGAGAGTTATTAAAAATTGTTCAACAACTAAAGAGACTCCAAACATTTCTTATAAAATTCAAAAAGGTACAAACAAATTTCTTAGACAGTGCGCTAATTGATTCCTATCCTGATATAATACAGTAATAATAATAAGTAATAAATTATTTTCCCTGACATGTTTCTGAAAAACAATTCCAACAATTTAATAAGTTATTTAAAGCAATCGGATATAAAAGTTCATAAATCACTCCCACGAAAATCGAATTCAATATCACACGGAGAAAAAATTGTTTGATTCTTTAATTTTTTATGCGTTAATTTGAAAAACTTGTTTTCTAGAATTCCAATATTTTTTCTAACGCGAAAAACTTTGTCGGTCAGTCGACGCTGTTAAAAATGGCTACTGAACTGACCAAGCAATTCCAATTATTTCCAACAGTGGAGGTTTTTCCATCGAGTCCCCCGTATCGGAAAAATAATTGCAATCTGAGTTGCAACAGTGGCGATTATTTTAAACGATCCTCGTCTTGACCGACCCATTTGCGGTAACCGAGCCGATCAACATGGGTGGATTCCCGTGTATACAGTGCGATCACTGGTAATTGATCGATCTCCATCATTGCACCAGTGTCTCCTGGGTCGAATAAAGTAATCTAGCACGCTCTGCCGAACGCAAAAGCCATTCTCTTACGCAATCATCACCCGATTCATTCAATTAACACTGCCAATTACCGATATTATTCCTCTCCCGTGATTCAATCATTCCACTTCTCTCATCATAACACAATACTCCTATTATATTAAATGGAAATTACAACAAATTCTCAAAATTTCAACTCATCAGCGGAATATTTATTACTATACTTTCATTATTCATATTTACTTTACTCTATTTTTTTCTAATTTAAAAAAAAAAAAGTGGCTGATGGAATACATTTCCCTTTAATTCCATAAATTTTTATGAGTGGGAAATTTTCAGTGAAAG